TCTAAAAGAGAAATAAATTATTTTAAAAGCAGTTCAACATTTTGTCAGAAAACTCATCATGAGCTTGTGATAACATTCATTGTGACCCTGCCCAGTAATTTGCAAAGTTTTATTTATTAACAAGAGAAAATTAAATATTGAAGTCAGTGTTAGAGTTAAGAACACCTGTTTTTCAAGCCGACACCCTGTTGCTTCACGCTTTGATACAATTCTTCATTAATATCAGCAGAAACAGGAACAAATTCATTACATATCTATGATGGCACCGACCGGTGTTTCCAATTGTTTTGCTTTCCTGAAAGACACCTTCACTGGAAATTTGGCTCTAAGACAGGTGATGCTCAGAAAACAATAAAATAAAAAAAAAAAATTGCGATCATTTTATAGCTGAATTTTGATCAAATTGGTGTCCGTCGGTGAAACGACTGCGTCAAGAGCTTGCGGAAGAAACAGCATCGTCTGGGAGATGAGAACTCGTTAATTGGTTGCGCACTGCGCCCCCCGAGGCTTCATTAATTGACCTGTTGCCTGATTGGATCGCCGCGGATGCGCACGTCCCTGGATTTTGACTGTCCTTGTTTTCACTTGGGTTTTTTTTTTTTTTTTTTTTCCTTTACGTTTTAATTTTTTTTCTCGTGAGTTGTGTTTTAAGTTGCTTCTCTGATTTTAGAAGCTGAATTCTGTGGTTCACTAAGAACATGAAAAACAGTTCAAATTGTACCGGTACGTACATGTACGGTACTTGTTCCATTGACTTGCTCAAATTTGCCAATTTTTACAACAGTTAAACCCTTGATAAAAAATATCACCTTTCAAAATTACATATATTCTACCCATAATGAAACTAACGCAATGTACATATGTTTAGTTTGAAGGATATTTTTCGTACAGGCCGTATATCTATTTTCTTTTTAGTCAAGCATCCATATGGTATGCGATGACTCATGCTGCTTATATCTTGATGAAGCATTTAATGATATGAATTTCACGCACATTAACTTTTAGGAAGAAAATAATATTCATGTAGTTCTGTTAATTTTTTTCTATGATTTTATCACCTAATACGAAGAGATCTACGGTATCTCCCAGTATATGATCTCGCACTCATTTGTGATGTGAGAACAACATGTTTTAATTGATACAACTTGAACATTTAGTTTCACAATTCAAAACGCAAGTTCATACTGTGGAAAGAGCCACACCTTTTTGTATACATTTTGTATACATTGTATCCACCCATTGTAAAGTGCAGTAATTTCTGTGCTAAGTACATTTGTTTTTAGTACAAGTCCCTCCATATCACAGTGTACATTTTAGGAAAGTAGAAACATACAAATGTACGTGTATGTAATTTATTGCAGTGTCACCACATGTATGATGGTAATTTTGGCATTTCACTTCCTCATGGGGTGCGGTTCGGGCAACAATCCGCATCAAATCACCAGAGAATACCTCTCTCCTCTTACACAATGGCGGATCACCGCATTGTGTAATAAAATTCTCTTCTGCAGACCACAGAGGCCCCTCAACCACCGCTGAGCGAACGCGGCCCCTAATAAATGCCATACAGTATTCCATTCCTGCCTTGCTTGCGCTCCGTGCCCGGCAAGCAGCTATTTCACCTGAGGTCTTCTATTTTTTTTTTTCTATCATCAATTTTTTTTTTCCTGCCGTGGAAATAAAAAAGGAAAAGTGGAGTGGAGCAGCCGGAGCTGTACCGGAAAACTGTGTCACATGACACGGGCGTAGGGATTGATTTGCCTGTAGATTGTCTGATAGAGGATGGCTACAGTGTGGTGCTCAGGTACACAGGTAGATCTACCTGTAGGGCAGAGCGATAATACTTGGTTGATTGCAGGCAGCGGCTGTAGTCGGCCTTGCTTTTAATTCGTACCATGCACAGTCATGTAAAACTCCGTACTGCCTTCCATAATGTGTTAGACATGAGATTTTTCAGACTTGGGCCCGAAATCAGACGTTTGGGATCGGAGAGAAAGACACTGTTACTTGTTAGAATAGGAAGAAACTATCGGTGTTTAAAATACATTTTCCAGGTCTTCATCTAATTTTGAGACTTTTTGGAAAACGACAATATCATCTCTAATTTATGTTCATGCTCATGTACCGGTACATAGCCTACATGTACATGTACATGTACATGTACATGTATGCAGCCTGATGCAGTTCATGCACAGACCTGCATGTACAGTTGGTCTGCATAATGCATCTTACGCAGACAAAAAGGAAATAAGGAAATTGCAGGATTTTTTTTGTTTAGGAAATACATGTTGACACGCATGAACATGCAACGGTGCATGTCCCGGTAGGTGTAGGTTTCCATATGCATGATATCCTCAGTCTCATGACCTTTATGGTAAACTGATATTGACTAGTAACACACCAATCAATACAAACACCGCCTCATTGTACATGCATGCCATTATCTGTATTTCTAGAACGTGGGAAAGTTCTTGAGGGATATGTTTGTGTGCTGGGTTGTATACAGAAACATTTAAACAAACTTAGGCATATGTTTACAGGTACGGTATACTTATTGAGAGAATAAAGAATCAAGTTCCAGCCGTTGATTTTCCATACATTTGAGCAGTTTATTGAACACTTCTGTTACAATAAAGTGGATTCCCCCCCCCCCCCCCCCCCCCAGTTATCCATATTTTTACTGGAGAAATGACACGCCACCAGCATGGGTCAGTAATTTAGGAAAGGGGGATTTTGTTCTGCGTGTTTTGTTGGCGATCAATTTAGAAATTTTACTCAAGCAATATTTTCTTTATGCATTGAAAAAAGTTATTTTCATTTCATGTGGTCAAGAATTTTTGGGACTCATAATGTACATGTATTTAGCACAGTGAGCGATTTTGTTACAAATTGACTGAGAAGCTTAACTACAAGTTTGTTGTGGCACTTCGTGTTATCAGCCATTTTTACAGATATTGTAAAAAAAAAGCAAAAAAATAAAAAAGTTAAAAAGTATGGACAATAGCTGAACTATGTTAAAGGGAATGTACATCATTGGCTTTTGCTGTAATTTTCAGAAATGAACTTTTTGATGGGCTAGTATCATAGATCAAAATATTGTTACACTGACATGTTTAAAGTTTTGTGTTCGGAAATGCTGAAAAAAAACCAAGAAAAACAAAAATGTTCTGGTAGTCTGGTTCCCTGACTCTACTAAAGTTAAAGTGGATCAATTTAATATTTATAGATGCCGGAAAATTGTAAGGTAAGGGAACCAGTCTAGCTGGCCTGCACCTGTTCATGAACATGTACCGGTAACCCATAGCAAACAAAATTTTGACTGAATTAAAGGGTTAATTTGGAGCAGTAGTTGAAAAATAGTTAGGTTTTTCCAACGGTGGCCGGAAGACCACCGTTGGAAATGTAAACAAAAATACAATTTTCTTGAAAATGACTTCACACCAGGTGCCATAAATTTATAGGATGCTTTAGACTCATTTACCAACATCCTAGTATTAGGTATTTCGTAACAACTTGGTAGTTTTATTTGTCGACGTTTGCAAATGTTGTATATTCCCTTTAAGTACGCTCAGCTCTTGTGTTACTTGTTTGATTTTGTTTGGTCCAGCGGAAGTAGCCATTCAACCATGCACGTGTCCGACCCGGTGTTATCGACGTCATATTTTCCCTTACTGTTCAGTTGTTGGCTACGGTCTGAAAAATCAATCATTAATGCGTCCTGTGGTGTGAACTTGACCTTCACGAACCACCGGCAGTGGTTGTTTTACTCATTGTCGTTTTGTCTTTTATTAAAAAGTATCGTGTTTGTAGTTGTGAAATTGATCATTTCACAAGGGCAGCTCCGTGGTCACACCACAGTCAGAGAGCGGGCACTATACCGGTAGATCTTAGTACTCGGATATTAATTAACCCTAACAGAACTCAACCCATCAAACCCCAACAGCATGTTTTGTTGGAATCTGTCAGGATGGGTACAGTACCCCTATTAAAACTGACAGTCTTTTACATTGGGTTGGCATACCTCCAGAATCAAACTCAGAAATATGTGTGCACAGTTTCCCATATGGTGTTGGAATTTGCCATTATGGGTACGGTTCCTAGTAAATCAAGATAGGGAGTTAGGGTTACATGTCAGGGATGTAGTGTGTCCATCACAAGTCCAGTCACAAGTAAATCATGAGTCCACTCACACGTCCAGTCACAGGAAACAGTAGATGAACAATAACAAAGGCATGCCTTTGTCAAAGCTCATCTGAATAGCTTGTGAGTTGAATTGGGACTGGAGGACTTGTGATGGACTTGCAGGGACTTGTGATGGACGAGACCACATCCCTTACTAGTAAATGTACCAATGACATTATGATCACTTTGCCTGTTCTGCGTGTAGTATTGTGCAACATGCTTCCTCACAAAAAATTTCACTTTCCAAGTAAATCACCAAAAAAATTCAAAAAAAATCCTTCAATTTCCAGAGTTGTCCAACATTTCCAATACCTACAGTCCTTTGACAAATATTTTGTAGATCATTAATAACATATACATGCTGTGCTCAGGTCTCGGTTTATTAGGTAAATAGTGGAAGCAGGCAGGAACAGATCTTACATAATATGTCAGGTTTATCATGTAGTGCCTATTCTCCAGCCCGTGATTTCCTAGCATTGAGCTTTTGTGAGCATTTGTACTGCATGCACATTATCAATGCCAGTAAATTCACTACAATATTTCAGGTACATATTCATACATAAAGTATCCACATGTTTTGTTAATTTGTTAAACTTGTGGCCATTTGTTTTTGTTTTGTTTATAAAAGCGCATTACTCTCCAATCCCCCCTTCCAATCTTTCAAGTGTTGTTCAACTCTTGTTACGTCCCACACTCATTTTTGGCAGTCTATCACCATGCCTGTGATTTCACTTAACAGAACCGAGAAAATAAGTATGAAGATTTTGACAATATGTATTAACTTTATCATTTTTTTTCCCCCTTTTTTTTAAATTCAGGTATGGCCGTGTTGACAGCGTGAAGATTACCGGTAAGCGGGACAACGACGGCGGGCTCTCGGCGTTCGTAGACTTCGTGGATATAAATAGTGCAACCAAGGCACACGAGGCAATCATCAAAATTGCAGATCGTGAACTGCGCATCGAGTACAACAACCCGGACTCGTTAATACCCGAGGATTCTATAGCGCACCGGGATTACGATGTAGGCCATGGCAGGCACTCGCGGTACGACTCTCGTCGCGATGGGTAAGTGTTAGGCGTCCGCAGAAGAACCGCAGACAAAGGTGTCTGGAGATTGACGTGGTTTCAATCTCATCAAGTCATTGGAACAAAAATCACTGTGTATTTAAAAAATAAGACACATAGAAGTCCGCATATTGCTACTTAAAAATTCAAAGTTAAAACTTCATTGTGCATTAAGAAAGCCAACCGTAAAAACTGTTCACAATAGCGACGTTTCATTTCAATCAACCGGATATGTAACAAACGAAGAATCAAAGAATACAAAAAACAACCGAAACAATCAACTACATTCTCGATAAAAAGGCATGTAAATGCACCAAACACTGTTGAATACCACTGTATTTAATTCATGGACTTCGCTTGATCTACACGTAACAGAACAAGGAAGTAAAAACACGGATAAAAATGGCGCGGTGAGCTGCGGGATCACATCTCGTTGCAAGGCCTATTCATCGCGCCGGGCTCAGGATATATACTTCCCGGTATTAATAGAACGCCAGGTCTGAAGCACAGGATGTGTCCTTTGTGAGTCACGACAGTCCCCCACAAAAAAAATATATGAACGCCAAACAGAATTATCTGGATTAAAGGGTCATGCGGGCTGGACACATGTTGCTGACTTGTTGTTGTTTTGGAAATTGGCAAGGGAAGAGGGCGGGAAGGTAAGGGGGGGGGGGGACATTGAAACTTTTGTCTCGTTTGAGTTGGTTGACAGTCGGCAGAATTCGGGCTTGATTAATAAACAACTAAATTTAAATTTAACAACGAAGAAAATATCTTAACTTTAATAAATATCATATTTGCGTATGCCATTTTTCAGTAACAGATTAAAAACGCGACTTTCAAGCAGTCTTGACATGCAGCGAATACATTCAGTGTAAAAAAAAAAAAATACAGTTCATTTCCTTCCTAACATGATAACGTCGGACAACAAGTATTTATGAAACTCAAATCTTAAAGTGCAAGTGTAGTGCCAATCCGAACAAACTATCACTGTAAACTTCACAGAGGCCCCCGTCAATGGCGAAAGCATTGTGCCAAGTATTGTACAAAGCAACTGCCCCACGACGGATAATGTGTACAATAGCTAGCACAATGCTTTCGCCATTGAAGGGGGCCTTTTGTGAGCGTTCAGTGATGGCATGCTCCAAATGGCCTTGAAAAGCTAAACATAATTAAAGTTCAGTAAAGTTGACAAACATTTTTGTTGGTAATAATGCATTCATGAAATAACTTAAGCTGTTAAACTCAGGAATGTTTGGATGGGCAGTATTTGTGACGAAAAAAAAAAATCCCCCAAAACATAACCTGGAGATACATCTTGTCAATAGGATTCATTACGGGAGACCCAAGAATAGATTTGTGGAGGAATTTCTTGAGGTTGGATTCCCCCCAGCGGGAATTTGTTTGTAAGGGGCAGCTGCCAGAGCTCGTCTCCGGGGAAAATAGAATGAAAGGGCTGGATTTGACCTCATCTCAGCGACCTCATCAGATGACCTTTAAGTGGAAAATGCGTTGGGTTATCTCCCCAGTAGGTCTCTTTCCTGTGAAATAAATACAGACTACTGATAGGTTATCAACACAACACTGAATTGAGTTAGGGACAATATGATTATGATGATTACGTTTCGTGATTCAATGGTTCAAGACCCGACTTCCATCATAAAAAATTATCTGAAGTTTCAGACGGATAATAAACAAACAGAATGTTTCCCATCCCCAACGAAAAACCCATGAATGTGTGTGTATCGTTTGTTGCGAATGTTCACCTCTCATCTGCACACTCTGCTTTTTGTACAATCTACTTTGACAAGGAGTGCAGCTACACACTATTTTTGGTTTTTCCAATTCTCGGAAACCAAATAATTTTGAATCTTTTGACCAAAAGTACTGGTACACAGTACATGACAGTGTTCATCATTGAACACAAATTGGGATTAATAATGACCAAAAAAATACATGCGTACAATTTTTCAGCAGATGGGGAAAAAAATCCTTTACATCACAACACTTTTGTGAAAACAGTCATGTCGCATGCCCCTGTGATGTGAAAAGAAATTGTCCATTCATTAAACCACACAGAAATCTAATATTGAGCACCAGTTGTGGCACCATTTGACACAGATTAACCGCCCAGACAGCCGACAATCTGTGTGTTTATAACAACAATAGCCTAGGATGGTGTTTTAATTAATGATTCGACACCCATGTTGCATTGTCATTAAAACCGCACATGGTGCCACCAGACGGCACCACCAATAAAAGATTCATTCAGTGACGAACAATTGAAATGTGTGCTGTGGGCCGTGTCCATTTGACCCTCCGACAACACGTGATAACTGGAGTGCGTCAGGGTAGTAAAGTCTGGTTGTATTTGATGGGCAGTTGTTGACACACACAAAAATGCAAATAATACAATATTAGGCACTGAATACAGGCCAGTTCATGAATCATCGGAGCTCAGTATTCTGTGTTGGGGTCCCGATGCTGCTGACTGCAATTTAATTCTGATACATGTAGCTGCGCCATTGGACAATTTCTGAACGAGATTTCTATGTGGGGGACGGCCAGTCTACATGTACATAGGCCTACATTGTACACATTGTGAATGTATATTGCATTTATTCAGGTGTTTTGCAAAAAAAAGGCCTCAGAAGGATCGGCCAGTGAGTCATTTGAATGCATGGAGCGAGCCGGATTTTACACCCGTCCTGATTTGGAATTTTGAGACTGGATGGGAATTTGTGCAGTAAGTTAACGCTTGCATTGACGGAAAGGATGACAGTGATACAGAATCCATGCAATACAAGGAGATTGCTACTTTTGAGCCAATAGCAACAACTTGCTCCGGGTGCCGATACAGAATCCATGCAATACTAGGAGATTGCTAGTGCTACTTTTGAGCCAGTAACAACAGCTTGCTCCGGGATCAAGATGCCTCTTTTGAAAACAGCTTATACTGCATGGAAAAAAGACTTTCGAGTTTCAATTGGATTTCAATCTGCCGTCTTCCGTGGAAAGTTGGGATTGGATTTGAGAATTCTGAAAAGGACTGAAGAATTGATAAAAGTCAATCTTTAGGTTTTCTGTATTAAATGGAACTGATGCATGCTTGATGCAATCATGTACAGTGTAGCCCCTTCAACACCGAGTTGAATCTGAAAGGCGCTCCATGCTGCCCTGGATGGCACAGTATTTGATTACATGTGGGGGTCAATAAAAGACACACAAGGTGAAAAGAGACTTTTTCCCGCCCGGTTTGCACCAAAGATCCAAAGCTGCGTTGTGAATGAACTGAATTGGGGTCCTAGAACCCAGTTTCAAGAGCTGTGGAGACACTCGGTGCAGTGTAGCCAGCTTGTAATTGGACCGGGCCCATCAATGTGCCTTGCCTCTGATTAGAATCACTGGCTCGTAATTCCCATGGACTTGGGTGTAGGAAAGAACCAGGCTGACCTCGATTTATACGGTGCATTGATTACACGTTGCAACGGATTACATTTTACAACATGGATTCTGCAGCTCACTGCAGCTCACTGCAGCTGTGTACTGGGAAACAATAAAAGGCCAGATTCCCATGCATGGATGGTTGCTCCCTACTAAATATTTATAGCAGGACTAACAGTTTTCTGTAATTGCACCTGGGTTTGTCACAATATACTACAGTACAATACATTACGCCTATGGAGTGCTGTGATGAGGACTACAGACTATATGCCTAGTGGATGCGAACCCATCTTTCGCACTTAATCCTGTGTAATATTGTGTAGTCTTCATGGAATGGGCTGGAACTGCTAAGTGATTTTGCTCCATCTAAAATGAGTGTGGGGCCGGTATCAAGCAGAAAGAGGTTTGTTTTTTAATTGCACGGAGCTAAACGTGCCCCTTTTAAAAAAAAACCTGGAACACGGTACAAAACATGCCTTTTTGTGCGATTTTGTGCGATTATTTTCTTCTTCTTCCAAAATAACTTGTGTGTTTTTTCAAGAATTAAAATTTTTCCCATGAATATAAGTGACAGTTTCTGCTTGACAGTTTCTCCCAATCCCATTGACTTGAGACAACTTTTCCGATAAACCTTTTTGAGAGGAAAAGTTGAAAATGGGAGCCTGTAATATATTTTGTACAATGCACAGTTTGTACACGTACATGTACACACTTACCGGAAATTACGGTACCGGTAGGCCTACATGTTCAGTGCACACATAGCTCCATGGTGTACATGTTCATCTCTCAATTATTTTTGTGTGTGCACCATTCAAACTCATGACTATTTGTACACCACACTGGTGTACCAGTACATGTATACATACACATTTATTATAAACATGTACATGTACATGTCTCATAAAGCACATCCCCCCCCCCCCCCCCGATCCCCCTGTGTGCTGCAGTAAACGCTCATGCTAAGCAGCCGCTACATTCATCAACATTTTTTTAGTTTCACATTGAGCCATCGCTTTCCCTGGGGCCTGAAAGGCCACAACCAGCATGAGTCATACCGGACTTGCCAACCACATACAAGGCCCTTCCTCCTCACTTTCCTGTGCCAGCCAATCCCGTTGCCCGACCTCTGACCTATTAGCCTTGCCCTGTTGGAGCCAGCCTACCCCCCCCCCCCCCCAACATAAAGGATACAGAGCTTTGTGCCGCTGTGTACTCCTACAAAAATTTTCCTTTACAAGGTTATTGAGAGTGCAACTTCCCTGCCAAAAAAACAAAAACCACAAGGTTTTGTGGTTGCATGCCCGGATCGCTCTCTGGATGTTATTGTTTGTCTAACTGTTATTATTTCCAATGCCTGTGTTAAGAAAAACCGGTGGACAATAAGTATTGCCAAACCCAACCTATGTATTGATTTCTTTCGTAGCTGCACTGTGCTGTTTTGTTGGTTTTTATATTTCCTTTCAAGGCTGCGCCAGTAGATTCACTCAAAACAAACTACTCAATTGTGAAGCTACTACTGTATCAGTCGGGGGTGGGGGTGTTCTTTGAAACGCATG